GGGGCTTTAACCCGCTGAACCACAGCACCGGCCCCCAAAATATACTTTTAATTCCATTTCCTTGAACTTTTTGAAGTACCCTTGTATGTTCCACTAAACAGGTGATGTCCCCATCTGTATTTTGTGCTTGCTCTGCGTTTGCGTCTCCTATACAGATCCAGGCTGTCTTCGGTTTTTAGAGTTTCACTCGTCTAGAGCTCTGCCCTCCCCCTTCCACCGTCAAGCCCTCTCCACCACCATGAGGTTTACACCATTTTTATTCTCTTCCTCAGGACCGCCTGCTCTTTCTCAGCTCTGTCGCCTGTGTGTCCGGAAGTGCTTGGGCCGAGCATGCCATCAAGTCATCTACCAGCTACGTCTACCAGAGCCACTGGAAAGATTCCTCCTATACCAATAGTTCCGACTACCCAGGGGCAGTTACTTCAAAATAAGAGGCTTGCTGTCGCTGTACCCAGGGTACTTAGTGTAGGTGCCCAACACCTGGATTCTCGGTATCCTCCAATGCGTTCAGCCAGTAGGAGTAGATCCCCATGAAATGGGACATGTGGGGAGTGGTAACTCCTGGTTAATTTAACGTTTTCATTAACCAAGGGACAACCATAAACCTTTTAGTTTAATCTCGTGGTGATAAATTTAATAACACTGTGAAGTAGAGTGAAAATAACAGGCTACTGTTGGTGATACAGCTTCCTGTGTGCCCAAGAGTCACTTTCCTGGACACTGCATAGACACATGGAAATTCAAGTGGATGAGATTATAATGAATATTAAGTAGTCCAAGATGTGTTTCTGATTTAGTTCCCTCTTCTATTTCCTTTATCAATCTTTTTCCTTGAATAAATCTATGCTATAATTTTGATTTCTCTGCATTTTTAATGTGTGTGTGTGTGTGTGTGTGTGTATATATATATATATATAAAGCTAAATATTTTGACAATATCATGGTTAACAGAGGCTTCTCGTTAACGGAGGCCCTGGTTGGTAAAAGAGATTTTGGAAGATGTTAGTTCATTCAGAGGTTGGAATCTATTGCTTATCACTTCTGATATTACATGCTGTTCTTCAAAGTAAGCAGTTCTGGATCAAGCAACACTGGATACCCCAACAATCTGAACCTAGGGGCCCTGTTTGATGTATATTGCAACCCAAACACTGGCTTATTATCAAAGTCAAGATCTTCAGGGTTTCTGAAATAATTACATGCTGATACTTGCCACCAAGTTGGGCTCATTGCTGAATCATTTGGAATATGGGCTGATGGGCTCTGGTTATCACTCTTATATTCTCTATTTTTTTTTAAGATGGATTTATTTGAAAGGAAGAGAGAGAGAGAAATATCTTCCATCCACTGGTTCACTCCCCAAATGGCCACAACAACTGGTGCTGAGCTTCTTCCAGGTCTCCCACGTGGATTCAGGGGCCCAAGCACTTGGGCCATCTGCTACTGCTTTCCCAGGTGCATTAGCCAGCACTGCAGGTGGTGGCTTAACCTGCAGTGTCACAGTGCTGCTCCC